TGGGATTCCATGGTCCTGTGATGTCTGCTAGAAAATGTTTAGGTAAGGTCCTGACCAGTTTAAAAGCATTGGAGCGTCCTGTGATTCCACTCTTTGCTGTGTAACCTCTGAGTTCGGCACGAGGTCAGGACCTTTGGGATCTTTGGGAACTTGGCATGCTGTGCCTTGCAGGATGACACCACCTTGAGCATTCCAAAGCCTGAAGGGAAGCTTGGAGATGCCAAGTCAGCTTGGTGGTGTGGAGAGGAACTGAGAGGAGGCACAAGAGGAGAGGCAGGCAGGGGTGAGGATGAGACGAGATGGGGTCTCTTTTTCCCTGAAGTATCCCATGCTGTCCCCAGGTTGGATGTTATTCAGACTCCAGCAAACCATTCCAAACGATTGGGTGTGTGGAGGAGCTCTGCCAGTTCGATCCTCTCTCATCCGACAGCTCTGAGGGGACTCTGCTCTGGCAAAGACATTGGTCATGTTCTCGGCCGAAAGCAGCGTGTGTGTCTGAAGGCAGATCTCCAGTGGCATGTGTGCTCTGCTCAGCACAGAGCCTGCCGGGTGCTGCGCGTTCCTGGACGGAGATGCGCTCTGAGCGCCCGTGGCAAGGCTGGCTGGGGCACAGGGATGTGCAATTAGGCAGTGCTGCCCTGTTGTCTTGCTTAATGGCCAAGGCAGGAGCTCTTTGTGAGCAGGGATGTTTCCCCAAGTGCTTTCTGGGCTGTGCTGGGCTCTGGAGCACCCTAGATCTTTTCAGGAGAGACTGTGTGTCATCTGCTTGATTGGAGCTGCTAATGGATTGCTGCTTTAATTGTGTGAGCTGTGTGGCAGAGCATCCCCACTTATGGATGGAGAGAGAGAGCAGTTTATGTGTGTTTATGGCAGTTAGGGGGAAAATGATTTGCAGCTCACTAAGTATTTTTCCTCCATCTCTGGAGCTGTAACAGCTAAAGGCTGGTAATTCCTTCAGCTGGACCTGGCTGGCTGCTGTTTGTAGTGTCCTTTTCCTCCCTAAAATAGAGAGAAGCTCCCCCTTCCCTAGGAAGTTCCACTCGTCCAGGCCCCTCACACACATTCTCCAGCAGTCTCAAGTGTAAGAGCAGTCAGAGAGCAGGAGAGTAAGAATTAGACCCACTGTGCTTTCTGCTTTACCCTTTTCCTTAGTGCTTTTGGGGTTGCTTCAAACCTCTCTGTTTTTATCAAAGGCAAATTATACTAATTGATAAGAAAATGAGTGAGGGAGAAAATAAATTGCAAGAAAAATGAATTCACAGAAGGCCAAAGTATCAAAGCTGTGAAATAAGGAGCCTTTCATTACCCTGAATAATGTAATTCTCAGCAAAGGCTCTTTGCTTCAGATCTGGTGTCACTTGAACTCGGTGAACGTGTCCCCAGCTGGCAAAGTTCCACTGTCTCCTTGGGGGTCATTGAGGTTGAGTCAGGGCATGAAAATTGGTCCTTGAATATCGCACGCAAGTGTGAAACTGTGGACATGACCAACCTGCTGGTCTTAGCAGTGTGAAAATAAGGAAGCTAAAGAGTCTTTTTACAGAATCATTGAAGTTGGAAAAGATCTCCAGGATCGTCAAGTCCAACCTGTGCCCCATCACCACTTTGTCAGCTAGAGCAGTGCACTGAGTGCCATGTCCAGTCCTTCCTTGGACCCCTCCAGGGCTGGTGACTCCAACACCTCCCTGGGCAGCACATCCCAATGCCTGACAGCCCTTTCCGTGGGGAAACTCTTCCTTTAGTGTAGAATGTTGAGGGGTTGGAATGGACCTTAGAGATCATCTAGTCCCAGCCCATCTCTAGACTCCTCTCACCAGACCAAGTTGATCAAGGCTTTATCCAGCCTTGCTTAGAAAATTTTGGTCTGCAAAAAAAAAGCTGGGGAATGCCTTCTTTCCTCTTTCCTTCCCTCCTCCCAGCCCCCTGTGGCAGCTCCAGCAGGCAGAAGCTGTCAGCAGTGAGCAGGCAGCAGTGTTGCTGTTGGCTTGTTGCACAATATTCTGTCAGCATTACATGATATTGCTGGCAATATCCTGCAGATTTCAAACGGAACCAGAAACTCAATACAAGCTGTGCAGCCTTCACAGTGTGGGGCAGTGACTGAGCTGAGACAGGGAGATCTTCTTCCCCGTCTCCAGGTCGTCATGGCCACTGGTGTCCTCGGCCCACGCTCGCGGCGTGTTACACGGCACTTGCTCTCACTGCTTACCTTGGGCTGCTCCTCTGTCCCTCTTGCTGCTATTTGCAGCATCCTGCCTTGTTTTCGGTGTGATGCTGCAACTCAGCATCATGTGAGTCACAGTCCTGGGGCTGCATCTTCCAGATAAGCCACTTGCTGTTTGGCATGACTTGCAGGAGTCGGGATCATGCGGATGGGATTGTACCAATCCCTGGCGTTTGGCACACAGGCAGTGATTAGCCTTGCAGAGCAGCCTCTGGGGTGGCCTGGCAGCATCAGCTGCTTTGAGTAGGACTGGTTTGTTCTGACGGCATCCAAGAACTCAGTGCTCAAACATACGCACCAGTAAGAGCCAGTGTGGGAGACTGGGTGCCCAGCACAGGGATCTGTTCCTCTTCAGTTCCTGTGCTGAGTTGTATCACAAGACTTGAATCAGTACATAGTCAGTGTGTGCCCAGGTGGGTAAGGAGCCCAGTGGCCCCAGGGTTGTACCGGCACTGGTGCTGAGGCACCTCCAGCCCTGGAGGCATGTCTGGGCCCTCATGACAAGAAAGACATTGAGGGGATGGAGGGTCCAGGGAAGGGAATGGAGCACCAGTAGAGGCAGCACCAGTGTGATGAGCAGTGGCTGAGGGAGCTGTGAGGGCTCAGCCTGGAGAAAAGGAGGCTCAGGAGGAATTTTCTCATTCTCTACAACTCCCTGACCCTGCCAGGAAGCCAGGTGGGGTCAGGCTCTGCTCCCAGGGAACAGGGACAGGGTGAGAGGAAACACCTCAAGCTGTGCCAGGAGAGGTTCAGGTTGGACATCAGGAGGAATTTCTGCATGGAAAAGGGTCATATCCTCAGTGGACAAATAAAGATAAGCTGTTCTTTGCCACAGAGTTGATCTGGTTTTGCAGCTCCTGGCCTGGAGGTCTTTCTCTTGGTTGGGTTTTGGTTTGTTGTTTTCTTTTCGTTGGTGAGAGGAAACACCTCAAGCTGTGCCAGGAGAGGTTCAGGTTGGACATCAGGAGGAATTTCTGCATGGAAAAGGGTCATATCCTCAGTGGACAAATAAAGATAAGCTGTTCTTTGCCACAGAGTTGATCTGGTTTTGCAGCTCCTGGCCTGGAGGTCTTTCTCTTGGTTGGGTTTTGGTTTGTTGTTTTCTTTTCGTTGTAGGCTCTCTGGTGTGGAGGACAGGCTATAAACTTAGGACTAGAATATTTGCTCCTATCAATCCAGTCTCCCACTCATACACTTCCCCTTCAGTTGCTGGACATAGTTGTAGGCTGGAACAGAAGAAGAAGTGTCCTTACTTCCCTGTTGGTGACGCATTTGGTACCTACCAGGATGGGCAGAGAGGAGCAACTGGCAGGCACTGAGCCGCAGGAGAGGTGTCTGTGCTGCAGGTCTGGCCAAGTGCTGTGGCTTTGAGTTCCCTGGTCTCTGCTACATCCCCAAGGAAGCAGGAGGAAGAGCAGGATGTTTGGCTTCTGAGCAAGGAAAAGCTGTGCTGCTGCCAGTGGCTAATGCTAGTTTGCAGCCTGGTGATGTTCCTCTTGTTCCAGCTCAGGACCCCAAACATGTGTGTCCCTGCTCTTCCCAGCTCTCTGCTGGCTGTCCTGGGAGGGAATTCTCTGGTTTGTTGAAATCACAGCTGTGGGTTAGCTCCCATTAGGAAAATCCTGTTCTTGGTGTGGAGGAAATCTGCCCTCCCCAGTGACAGGCCAAGCTGTGAGCGTGGAACCAGGAGGAGAGCATGTGCTCCTCAGTGGTCCAGTGCCAGGGGTCTCCTGATGGATGCAGATCCACAGCAGTGGATATGGATACACAGCAGTGGATGTAGATCCACAGCAGTGGATGTAGATCCACAGCAATGGACATGGGTCCACAACAATATTTAGGACTATGTTAGTTTACTTGGAGAATAAGAACACTGACTTCTGCAGGAGAAACGCCTGTCCCTCTGCTGCAGGATGTAAATCAATGTAAGGGAAAAGCCATTAAGGACATAGCACTGTAGAAAGGCTCTTTGAGAACACATACAGAGCTACAGATTTTGCAGCTCTGTTTCAGAGGCAGCAGGAGTGAACATTCCCTCCTCCTTACCTTGGCTGTCCCGCAGGGTTTCAGCCCTGGCTCTGCCTTGGCTCCGCACACACGCCACAGTTAGGAGTGTAGGGTGCTGCAGTCAGGCTGCTTCACACAACGGGCAGAGGAGCCACTGCTCTCCTCAGGTGGTGCCAGGTGTCCTGGGTAATATCCCAGGCAAAAAGTCCAACCGTGGCAGCACCTTACTCCCTCCCTTCCAGGCTGTTGCACTCTGCTGCTTGTCCCTGCTGTTTCAAACTCCCATCCACACACAGCTTTGCTCTTGCCCTGTTGAGTAGCTTTAATCATGCCACTTTGGGCACTTTCTCCCTCTGGGAGCCCAGAACAAAGCTCTGTGTGAGTAGCACCCGTGGCAGGAAGCAAAGCCCTTCCACAGGGAAGTGTGTTCACTGAGAGGGATGATGCAAACCAAGCTTGGTAATACCTTAATTATATTTGATGGGACTTAACCCTTGGCTCTGTCAGGTCTGAGGTTGTCAGACAGGGTTCAAATGTTGTCAGGCCTTGTGGGCAGTGTTAACAGCTGAGCTGGATTTCAATGTGCTAATAAGAAAGAGAGAGAGAGGGGTTTGATTATTAGTTATTTTATTTCTCTGCTAAATTCTGCAGGTTTTGTGACGATCACAATATATAAACCCACTCAAACAGACATTTTCAAAGCATTTTGCTAATCTGACTGGGAAAAGGGTTTCTCTTTCTCACCTGTGTTGTCTTAGTGACCTGACTTGCCTTGCAGGGCTCAGCAGATTCGTACACAAGCAGACCCTCAGACTCTGATGTCTCCCTGGAAGAAGACAGGGAAGCAATCCGCCAGGAGAGAGAGCAGCAAGCAGCCATCCAGCTCGAGAGGGCCAAGGTGTGTTCTTTGCAGCTTTAATAACTGAGCTGTGTGGCATTTATCTTTGCCCTGCTCCGATCATTCACGCTTGGTTTCTAATGGTGATGCTCTTTGGGAAGGGTTTGACAATGGAGTGGAGTTGTTTGGGGAACAGAGGGTAAATACTCTCCTCTAAATGGGAATATTCTCCAATGAGCTGGGCTCTGCTGGCTGCTGGGAAGTTATTAGCTCTGAATTTTGATGTGTTTTTATGTATTTGGCAAATGTCCTCTGGTGATACAGCCATTGCTTCAGAAAAGTTTCCACTGGTGGTGATGTGTTTCTGTTTCCAGTCCAAACCAGTAGCATTTGCTGTCAAGACCAACGTGAGTTACTGTGGAGCTCTGGATGAAGATGTTCCTGTCCCAAGCACTGCCATCTCTTTTGATGCCAAGGACTTCCTACACATTAAGGAGGTAAACCCAGGAACTGGGAAAATGGGATGGAAAAGGGAATCTTTTTTATATTCCAAGGACTATGATTTGAACAGGTTGAGCCTGACAAGGAGAGCCAAGAGCTGAGGTGTCGCGATGGAGAGACGGGACGCAGCTCGATGCAAGCAAGATGTCCATTTATTGTTGTTTTTCACAGATACTTACAGTTTTCTTGGCTTAGCGTGTTCTCTGCCGATTGGCTTATTCTCTACATTAGGTGTGCACCAATTGGTTAACCTAAGGCACAACAACTTGTTACATGTCTTCTACCCCAGTAACATCCTAACTCCTGACCCGGCAGGCAGGGGCTTTCTGTTCCAGGGTCCATCTCCACACAACTCCTCCCAAGGCTCTCGGGCAACAAGTGCTAACACATCCCCAGAGCAGCCCAGACATGCTGAGCCTTGCTGAGAGCAGCCAGAGGGGGACATCCACCTGGTCAGTGATGCACCTCAGCCTCTGAGAGGTGGTTATCCTGCACCTTTGTTACACCTGATGTTAGCAGCTTATTGGGTTTTCATGGCGCAGGAAGGAAATAATGTCCCTTAACGTGGTGGGTTTGGGTTCTTTCCATCCATTGAAGGTTGTGGTGGATCAGAGATCACAGAAAGGCATTCTAATGACACAGAGTAGAGTAGGTCACACCAGGTCTTCAGGAAGCACCAGATAAGCTTGTGAAGGAGGAAATAAGCCCTAGAATAATACATTAAGCAAATACTAAAGAGGACAGATATAAAAATAAGGCAAAGAATGGGAATAAATGAAATGGGCCCTTGAGGATGGCTTTGGTGGAGAAAATTGCATTTTACTGCCTGCTGAGCAGATTTTCTGCAGTTCTTTCTCTGAAGTGAGCCCTCCACATTTGCATAACCCCCCGTTGTGCCATAGATTGCTGCACAGGCTTGCAAAGGCATCTTTTCATCTCTGCTCTCCGCGTTTATTTCAGGGTGTGCAATGCTCATCTGTCTCTTTCTTCCAGCATGTGTTCCTCATCGCTTCAGAGCACTGATCTCCCTTGGAAAGGAGGGAAACACCTGCTTCTGCCCCTCTGGAGACTGCTGTTAGAACAGGGGGTTGCTTTCCATTCCCTCTCCCTGAGGGTGACACAGGAGAGGCAGCTGAATCCCTCACTCCATCAGTTTGTGGCAGAGGTTTTGATCTTGGCTGTCCTAAGACATGGACACCTTTATTGTCAGGGCACAGATTGAGTTCAACATATTAAACTCCTATTTTTTCTGGACATTTTTTCCAGGCAAATGTCCCAAATCCATGTCTTGGCATTCCATGAGTTGTCTGAACAAGCAGGCTCACATTGCCACTAAGCTGTAAGCCTTGTGGCTTACTGGTGTTTGTCAGCTCTGCTGGGGGTTTAGCAGACTTGCTTTGTTAACACTGAAACCTTCAGCTTGCCTGGAAGCTCAATAGGGTTTTGGGAATGGTTCTCCATGCTGGAAAAAGGCTTTGCAGAGTGTTTCAAGGATCTGGCAAGCCAGTTTGGAATAGAATGGTTCCAGGTTTTGGAGAAACACTAAGCTAGGGATGAAGCAAAGTCAGCCAGGGTGACACAGCAGCAGGGACTGAGGAGGTGCTGTACTGAGAACCTGTCCTGTATGTCTCATCTGTCTCCAAGACTATTATGTGCTTACTTGAGAGATGAAGTGGCAGCAATTACTGACAAAGCAGAAGAAATCATGGCCATGGCAACCAATGGGAGAGAATGTGGTGTGCCCACACACTGGATAACATATGGGAGGGAATGACCTAATGCGTGTTCCTCATGATATTGTTAGCATTCCTGGGGTTCAGATGTTCGCAGCATCATCACGGAGTCACAAACTGGTTTGGGCTGGAAGGGATCTTAAAGCTCATCCCATCTCACCCCTGCCCTGGGCAGGGACACCTCCCACCAGCGCAGGGTGCCCCAAGCCCCATCCAACCTGGCCTGGAACACTCCCAGGGATGGAGCAGCCACAGCCTCTCAGTTCACTGATTCCCACCAGCAGAATCTTAGGTATTTATCTGGTTTAAAGAATGTAAGTACTGCTGTTGACTTAACACAGTTAAAATTAAGCTTTACTTACTGATACTGTCTGAATTGCACTAACAGCCTGAAGAATAGCTCCTTAAAAAGCTGGAATGATAAAATAATGGAATCTCTTGCATAAATAACCCCAGAGGACAGGATTTAAGATGAGGTTCTGAGGATTATGTTAATATTCGTGTGTGTGGATGGGTTAATGAAAAAAAACTCGTTTATTTTTCACAGCTGCCAAGGCTCTGTGGTTCAGGGGCATCCGTTAGGCACTGCTGTACCTCTGGCAACAGGGACATGGGATTTGTGTGTTCTTGCAGGAGCTTAAGTGCTTGAAAATCTGGAGCCAGGAGCAGTGATCGTTTGTAGGAGGAGATGTCTGTGATAGCTCTGTCCTCCAGGCATGCAAACCAAATTGGTTGCTGCTCTTAATGACTTGAGAGTCAGTTGTGAGAAGTGATGTTTCTGTGGAGCACGGAGGTGCCTATTGAAGCACAGCAGAGTGGAAGGGTTTCAGATATTCTTCTTCTGAAGCTCTGCTGGCAGCCAGCGACAGCAGGTCCTCTTCCACCACCACATCCACTAGGATGCTGCTCTTCATCTTCCCAGCATTCCAGCTAGGCCAGACTTCCAGTAATCCAGAAAAACGTGTTACTAAAGGTTAATGATAAATGAAACATTATACTTTGAGGTGTGTATTAAGTTCCTTCCTACAGGTGAAGTTTTCTACTGTCATAACATATTCTTAATGTCATCCAAGTGCCTGGAAAGCAGATGGGAAGGGGAAGGAGGGAGGAAGGGAAAGTGGCAGCGGTGGTGGTGATGTTTGGTGTAGGCCGTTAAATGTGACAAGGGGCCAATTGAGATGGTGTTGATGGGGATCTGAAGGTGTTACTGTTGTGTTTGGCTGCTGGGAGTGGTTTGGTGGCCTTGGATCACCTAACCACTTCATCTCATTGAATCAGCATCACGCTCAGCACCTTGGTGGTGGCATCAGAGGGCATTCCCAGCAGGATGTGTTGGGGCAGTTGAGAGCTAAACCAGGTAATGCCACTGCCTCAAAGACACCAAGCTCCCAACCACTGCCTCGCACCTCCTAACTTCCCCAGGTTGTCCATCCTTTCAGGTCGTGTGAGTGGTTTTGTTGGCCAGGCTGGAGTGAAGAGCTGTGGGTACAAAGGAAGGGAATCGGGCCCCTGGAGCACTTGGAGCTGACAGCAGTGACCTTCCTGTGTTGCAGAAGTACAACAATGACTGGTGGATAGGGAGGCTGGTGAAGGAAGGCTGTGAGATTGGCTTCATCCCGAGCCCGCTGCGCCTGGAGAACATCCGCATCCAGCAGGAGCAGAAGAGAGGGCGATTCCACGGAGGGTAAGAGTGCTGTGACCCCTCCAAAGCACTGCAGATCCTTCCTGGCACCAGGCTGTGCCTCCAGAGCTCCCTTGGCTCGGGGTTAGTGCAGCGTTTGGGTTGGATTCCAGCTGCAGGTCTGTGTCTGCGGGTACAGACGTGGCAGAGAGGGATGGGGAGAGACGAGACACAGTGTGTGTGACTGCAGGAGAGAGCAGTATACAGTCTGAGTGACAGTGGCAGGAATTCCTGAAAGCTTTGTGTCCCCGTGGACTGACAGATTTTTTTCCCAGCTATTCTTTAGGTTCTGGGTTTTTTCTTCCTGATTTTTCTCTTTCTCTCCCTTTTGGCCCAACCCAGACTTGACAAACTTTGTAAGATAAGCTTTGTCATTTCACTTCCTTTATCCATCCTCCAGCCTGAGCCTTTTGGGTCTCCACCCTGCCACACCTGGGGATTGCAAATCCCTGGGACAACAGAAACTTGGGCACAGGTCTGGGAGTTAAACCTGGTTTGCCTTAACCACAGATCAGACCCTGAAGTCACTCCTGAATCTGGATACACAAAATATTTTTGTATCTGAATACACGAAATACTTTTGTCTTTTAAAAAATCCCCCAAATCACTACCAGAGGATTGCTCCCCAGTCATTGAAAGTGAAATTGAAACATTCCCATGAATGACAGGGAGCTCAAAACCTTTAGTCCTGCAGAGTGAAGAGAAGGAGACAATTGAATCTGGAGCTCAGAGAGCAGGAAGAGGAGCACAGTTTAGCCTGTGCAGCACTGTCAGGGAATTTTGCCTTACTAATGTACTTAACCAAGGTGAGGAATCATTCCCAGTGTAAAACACCTGGGGAAGTGTTTTCAGACTGATTGGACAGCAATAACTGAGATTCTTCCAAATTGCTTTTCTAATTTTTGAGAGAGCTTCAGAGGACACCAATGAGTCTCAGTGTGCAGAGAGAGTATCACATGCCTCAGTGAGACACTCAGGATGTGTCTGAGCAAATTCAAAGGAGTTTGTAAGGATAAAATAGCTTTTTTTTGAGCACCTTGGTTAGATAAAGTTGTCTACATCTGTACCTGGTGATTTCTTTAAGGCTGTGACAGTAAGGCTCTGTGGGATGAAGAGGAGTTCCAGTTTGGGCTGAGCAGGGCAGTGAAAAGTCATCTAACCAGAGAATGATGGAATGGTTTGGGTTGGAAGGTCAGGCACTGGGATATTGCCCAGGAAGGTGGTGGAGTCACCATCCCTGAAGGTGTTTAAGAGGATCTGGCACTGGAGGATATGGTTTAGGCGGCAGCAGTTTTGGTTGCTGAAATCAAGGTTTTTCTTGGAGATTATGCTAGTTTGAGTTACAGAAACACTATTCTATGACCTTAAAGTCATCCCATCCCACCCCTGCTCTGGGCAGGAACACCTCCCACCAGCCCAGGGTGCTCCAACCCCATCCAGCCTGGCCTGGAACACACCCAGGGATGGAGCAGCCACAGCTGCTCTGGGCAATGTTCCAGTGCCTCACCACGCTCACAGCAGTTAAAGTTTCCAGACTCCTACCACATGTTTGCAGGTTTTTGAGGAAGGAGATTACCTTGTGGCTCCTCATGGGTCAGTTTCTCCCAAAAAAACCTCCCATGTGTTCACCTCTGGGTGCTTGGTGTTAATGAGGTTCTCTGTGCTGCCCTAGGAAATCCAGTGGGAATTCTTCCTCCAGCCTTGGGGAGATGGTTTCTGGCACATTTCGAGCCACGCCCACTGCCGCAGGTGAGACAGGGCCATTCCAGGAGGAAACTCTTGCTGCTGCTAATAGGTCTGTTTTGGATCCTTCTGTTCCCTTTTGCTGAGTTACGAAGAGGTTTGACAGCTAAGTGCTTGTGCTCAGAGTGGGAGGGACACAGGTATTCCTGGCCATGCTAAGTGGCTGGGAAAAGCCTTGGGAGCTGCCCTAGAGTGAGTAGAATGACCAGTTTAAACAGGGCTGGACAAAGGGAGGAGCAGGGAGAAGTCCCAGTGCACTGCCCAAGGGATTTGTTTGCATGGGCTGTGGGTGTTGTGCCCAGAGTGTGTTGTAACCAAGTTCTCATTTGGTCTTCCAGCAAAACAGAAGCAAAAAGTGGTAAGTAAAGCTTTTCTTTCCAGTTTGTTTAATCCTAATATTCCCAGGATTTGCATGTGGCTCTTGTTTGGTTAATGGCCTGAAGGGTTGTTTTCCTCTTGCAGACAGAACATATTCCCCCGTACGATGTGGTGCCCTCAATGAGACCTGTTGTCCTGGTGGGTCCATCCCTGAAAGGCTACGAGGTATGGACGTGTTTATTGTTACCCGTAACCTCCTGAGCACAGTCAGTGTGTTTGGTCCAGTGCCAGTGGTCTGTGCTAAAGTGACCTGAGCTTGCATAATTATTAAATGATTGTTAGATCAATATTAAATTCAAGTGGTCCGAGCTTCAGTAGAAATGTTCTGTCAGGATCAAGAGCTTTACTTGCACTGCTTTAAGCACAGTGCACATCCACTCTTTTCAGGGCACTGGTTCTTGCTTAGGTCAAGGAGAAGAGAATTTGTGTCTGCTACAAGCAGAAAGTTGGAGCAGTTGAATTAATGAGCTGAACTTCTCTACACATATAAAATTTCAGTCAAACCAGCACATGCTTAGAGCCTAAATCAGCAAAAATGAAGGAGCTTCCTCCTTGTTCTTCTGTTTTCACTTGATTAGTGTATTGAAATGTCTTTGCAAAGAAGCCTTTAACCCTTGTAAGGGTTTCCTGTGGAATATCTGGGCAAGAGCAGCCGGGCAGAAAGGGACCTGAGAGTTTGGAGAGACAGGAGCTGAACAGGAGCCAGCAGTGTGCTCAGGGGGCCAAGAAGGCCAATGGCATCCTGGGCTGGAGCAGGGACAGTGTGGTCAGCAGGACCAGGAGGTGATTCTGCCCCTGGTGAGGCCACACCTTGAATCCTGTGCTCAGCTCTGGGCCCCTCAGCTCAGGAGGGACATTGAGGAGCTGGAGCAGGTCCAGAGAAGAGAACGAGGCTGGTGAAGGGACTGGAGCACAAGTGCCATGAGGAGAGGCTGAGGGAGCTGGGGGTGTTCAGCCTGGAGAAGAGGAGGCGCAGGGGAGCCCTTCTCACCCTCTGCAACTCCCTGACAGGAGGTTGGAGTCAGGTGGGGGTTGGTCTCTGCTCCCAGGCAACCAGCAGCAGGACAAGAGGGCACAGACTCAAGCTCTGCCAGGGGAGGGGTAGGTTGGATCTTAGGAAGAGATTTTTTACAGAGAGAGTGATCAGGCATTGGAATGTGCTGCCCAGGGAGGTGGTGGATTCACCATCCCTGGAGGTTTTCAGGCTGAGACTGGATGTGGCACTTAGTGCCATGGGCTAGTGACCACGGGAGGGTTGGACTTGGTGATCTTGGAGGTCTTTGTCAACCCAGTTGAGTCTGTGATTCTATAGTAATGACAGCAAACCCATTCCTGAGGCTGCAGCAGGTCCAAGTGAGCATTTACCACCTGCTGCACCAGCGGAGGCTTTAGCAGGGCAGTCAGTGAGTCTAACCATCTGCTGAGTGTTGTGCTGAACCAGGAGCTAAATAAACATAAGATGCAAGAGACACTTCATTAAGCTAAATTAACGTTGGTGAGACTTTATAGGAGATTGTTAAACATACTGGGACCATTACTGGCACAGGGCAGTTTGTTGCACTGGGGGTTTCGGGGAATGACTCAAGGTGCAGTTTATTTTTCTGGGGAAATCCTTTTGGCTATCTTTTTTTCTGGCTAAATTCTTTTGACTCTCTTTTCCTGCCTAAGTTCTGTGTGAAACATTTTGAAGGACAGCTAGGAGAACTGAACTGCCACAGGCCTGGGGGCTGTGATGGAGCTCCTGCCTAGCCTGGAGGTAACAGTTTTCAGCCTGAGTTGTCCTGGGAAGGCCAAGGAGCTCCTTCTGTCAAGTGGCTGACAGCTCTGGGCTGAGCATCTTGGCTGTGTCTCCGTGCACAGGGATGGAGCATCCCATTTTTATTCCCTTAGTGTCTCTCTGAGAAGTGTTTCCCTGTTACAACACTCACCCAACAGGGAGAATCTTGTCCCTGAAGCTTGAAGCCAATTCTAATTATGTCATTGCAGGAAAACCCCAAATGATCTATTCAACCTGAACATCTCTTGTGCTTCTGGGGGCCTTTGGGGATGGTTTGTCTGTGGAAGGGGCAAGGTGTGCTCAGGGAAAGGCAAGGCAAGAGCAGGCAGTGACAACTCTCACCTCCTCCCTGCTGCACTTGGGGAGTGAGTCAGAAACTTGCAAGTATTAATCACCAAGCAGAGGTATGATTGTTGCCCATCAAAGGGATTGACTGTTGGCTGTGTCCTTACCTCCTACTTACCTCTCTTCTTCCTTTTGGCTTCTCTCTCTCTCTCTCTCTCTCTCTCTCTCCCCCCCCACCTGTCAATCCTCCCTGTTCAACCTTCCTCCCCTCAAAGGTGACAGACATGATGCAGAAAGCTCTGTTTGACTTCCTGAAGCACAGGTTTGATGGGAGGTGAGAAATACTGTCCTTCTCATGCTGTTTTTCCCATGTGTTACTAACATTTTTGTGGGTTTTTTTTTGTTTTGATGCAAGGTTTCATGCATGTTCGGAACTTCATGTCACCACTGAGGAGTGGAACACAGCTAATGTGTTACTACCAGTGCATGTGGCTTCATTTCTGCTGCGTCTGTGCTAGGATTTCTGAGTTGAGCACCGTAATTCTGCTTCAGGATCTTACCAACACCTAGGAAAAATCAGCTCTTAAATATCCTTTATTTAAGACTTTGCTTTCAGTACCTTAAGTAGTCAAAGATACTGAAAAAGGCAGTTTGAAGAGGGAAGTACTGAGAAATATAAGATAGAAAACAGTGTGTCAGAGCTGCCAAAATGGTAAGGAACATTCATCTTGGAGCACAGAGAATATTTCCTGAGGAGCTGAGAGAAGGCTAATTTGGATTTCTTTGCTTGTCCATGGCACCTCTTCCTTTCCCCATGAGCTCATGGGTCCTTGTAGGTGGCTGCTACACCTTTGGGACCTTCTGCCCTTCCTTCATCCCAGTTTGCTCATGATATTCTGACTGGGAAAAGAAGCTTAGACTGTTCCAGCTGGGATATAACACAGGTTTGGAATCCCTAAGCCATTGGCACTAGGGCAGGAAGAGTATTGGTGTGTGGAAGAGCTGGAGCAGGACTTGCTGTCAAGGTAGCTTTAGGGGGCAGTGAGGGGGGGGCAGAGCTGAACTGGTCCATAACCACCTTAGGCAGTTCATTTAGTGATCAACTTCTGTGCAGAATACCTGCTCTGCTGCCGTTTGGAGCTGCCTCAGCCCAGGTGAGCGTGCCAGCTCCTCCAGGCAGAGTGGCTGGTGTAAAACATGACAGCTGGAGCCTGCAGTGATGTGTCACCTCTCTGAGTGCTGCCAGTGCCTCTCCTCCCCACTCCTGAGCTGTGGCACTGCTCTGCTTCCTCTGCTGCCCCTGCATCAGGTGCAGGGACAGTTCCCTCCCTGCTGCTGCCCCGTGTCTGGCAGCCTGGTGCATGCTGCAGGCACCTGGGAGGCAGTTTGGGGCAGGAACCCACGGCAGCTGGGAGTGCTGAGCATGGCTGCTGTGCCTGGATCCTTCCCGAGGTGTGCTTTTACCCCCTGCCTGGGAATGTGCTTCTCAAAGCCCTGACTCGTCAAGGGCAGCAGTGCCTAAGTGCAGAGCAGACGGTGTGAAGCACCTAGAGCCATCCCTGCCTGTGGCAGGGGGGGGGGTGAGCCAGCCCAGGCCAGCGTGGGATTCTGGGGTTCTAGCTGCAGTGTTTGGCTTGTTTGATCCGATGGCAGGCAGAGCTGCTCCTGGCCTTGCCCTGCTGCCTCTCCCTGCCATTCCCTCAGTCTGCTCTGCGGTGCAGGCAGCAGAGGTTCTGCCTGGAGTGAGGGATTTTCCGGCAGACCCAAAGCCATTAGCAATACTGGCAGCTGGATCAGGCAGAGGTATAGAGTTCCAGCACTGGAGAAGCTAAGTGCCCCCAGCAAGCTGATTCCATTGATTTGAACTTTGAGGGACTTAGCCAAAAGCTTATTCTTGCTCCTCCTGCCAACTTTTATGGCTTTGCAGCCTTGCTCCTCCCCCCCTTGTCCTTATCTTTCTTTCCATCTCTTCTGCAATGCTGTGACAGGTTTACACTACCAAGGAAGGAACTGATTGTCCAAGGAAAAGCCTTTCAGAAGGCTTCAGTGAGACTTGAGCCAGCACGAGCTCCTTCCCTTGGGTTCTGCCACCTCCTCCGTTTCTCTCTGCAGCATCCTTGTCTGGCCAGTGAACCAAAGACACACAATCCTCTGATTTCTCCCATTTCTGTTTTAAACTCATTTATACCTTTGGTCTCTTCTGTATTTTCCGGTGATCATTTATTTATGTATTAAGTAGAAAAACACTTTGCCTTCTTTTTAACCCCCTTATGATAAATTCCCTCAGAGCTGCATAAACCTTAGGTGCTGTGGAAGAGCTTCTAGTCATTCCCAGCTTTCTTCTTTCAGTTATTCATAGCTCTTTGGCTCATCCCAGGCCTCCTAAATGGACTTGATATGAAGGGATTATGCGGTCTTTGTTCTCTAACAGTTTGTCTCACCATCTCACTGAGAGATGCAGGACAAAATCACTTTCCTTAAGCTAAAGAAGTGCAGTAAAGCTAAACTTCAGTTCAAGAAGTGCAGAGATCTGTGGCTCAACTTCCTTTTCTTCTGTTCATCTGAGTCACTTAGCTCAGGGAACAGCTCCCTGTCTGGAAAAGGAGGGTGTGGTTGGGTTCCATCTCCCAAATCAAGCAGCTCTGTTCCCTGACCCACAGGCACTCAGATAGGAGGTGTCCAGACCTGGCCCTTCCTGACCTCAGCTGTGTCAGGTTTACCCAGAGGTGTAGCTCTGTGGGGAAAGAAATGCTAATCCCTCACAACTCTGTTGCTCTATGTGCCCCAAGGCTCACATCACTTGCAGCAACTACATCCCAGAGTCTGCAGTAGCACAGGGAGTAGAAAACACCTCACAGTTACACAGCATTTCTTTATTTGCTCCTTCACGATGACATAACTCAGCCAGAAAACATGTCTGAATGGTGTTTTATTGCTCTTGCCCTTTGGAATGGGATGTGGCTGGAAATCATGCCCAGAGCACTGGAGGTTTGACTCCTATGTTTTTGTTGTTCTGTGTTCTCTCTCCCAGGATATCAATAACGAGAGTGACAGCTGACATTTCCCTTGCCAAGAGGTCTGTGCTCAACAATCCCAGCAAGAGGGCAATCATTGAGCGCTCCAACACCAGGTCCAGCTTGGGTAAGGCATTGCATAGGTGGAATTCCAACTGTGGTTACACACAGGAGGGAAGGGACAGGAGTTCAGGCTCACAGAGTCATGGAATGTCCTGAGCTGGAAGGATCCCACAAGGATCATCAGTGCAACTCCTGCCCAGGACACCCCAACACTGCACCCTGTGCCTGAGCGCTTTGGGCAAACACTCCCTGAGCTCTGTCAGCCTTGGGGCTGTGACACTGCCCTGGGAGCTGTTCAGTGCCCAAACACCTCTGGGGGAAGAGCCTTGTCCTGATCTCCAACCTGCCCCTGTTAAGTGCACAAACACCTCTGGGGGAAGAACCTTGTCCTCATATCCAACCCAAACCTCTCCTGACACAGCTCCAGCCCTTCCCAAGGTGTCATCAGCTCTGCAAAATTCCATGTGTCTACAGCATTTCCCACTTCATGGCAATGACATAAATCCCCGTGTGAGTCTGGGACAATGAGTGGGTGATGCTGTTTGTATCCGAGTGCTGCTGGGGCTGAATGGTCTCACCTGGTTGGTTTTCCCTCCCCAGCTGAAGTGCAGAGTGAGATCGAAAGGATCTTCGAGCTGGCAAGGTCCTTGCAGCTGGTTGTGCTGGATGCAGACACCATCAACCACCCTGCACAGCTCATCAAGACATCTTTAGCACCAATTATTGTCCATGTGAAGGTGTCCTCTCCCAAGGTAATGTGTCTCTGCCTTCAAATCCACAAGGGCCCTGAGGGCAGAGCGGGAGTGTGGAATCTCATCTGCACCTGAGGAAACTAAATGAGGG